TAATGTTGGACATTTGTCTTTAATTTCTGTCTTAAACATAAATAAATAAACAAATACATTTCTGGACCATTTAAAGTATTCTCTTAAAAATATATATATATAAAAAAATAAATAAATAAAAAGTAAAAAAGTCCGACCACCGTCTTATGGGACAGATGCGTAAAAACAACGTGTAAACCTGGATGTTATTTCTCTCCGGAGCCCCGCTGAGTGTTTGGACGAGGTGTCGCCCTGTCATAGATATATGTATAATAGATATATATATAATAGGGGCCTTTATTATATATTAAGCCATATTAGATACATAAAGCATGCCTTTATCATATATATATATATGTGTGTGTGTCGTCATGTGAGCACTAGTTGGTCGCTACAGCGGCGCGAGCTCTGGGAGCCGCTCAATCTTCATCTTCTCTCCCAAATAAGGAGCAGGAATGTCCGGGATGACGTCTTGTGTCCGGGGAATGCGGGTTTGTAACCACATTTATTTAACTACGCCTTCTCCGAGCCTGAGGTCCTGGTAGGCATTACACAGGAAAAAGAAACGGGACGCCCTCCTCCTCCTCTTCCTCCTCCTCCTCCTCCTCCTCCTCTTCCTCCTCCTCTCGGCGGATAACGGTGCCCAAGAAGTTATTCAGGACAGACAATAGCGCCGAGTCCGTCCGTCCAGCTCCGATCCTCGGCCATCACTGCTCATTAATGCTGCCCGCGTTGAGCCACAAAGAGGAAAACTGTCGGCTGAGATCCCATCATGGAGGATTTGGGTGAGTAGAGCTGCTGCTGCTTCCTGCGCTCTGACTGCATGTTGAGATATCTTGGAGGGATCTGAGGGAAGGGCTGCTGTGCCCAAACAGAGGAAATAAGGTCTGTGGCAGTCATTCAGTCTCCAGCTCCTTCCTCACAGGGTCATGTATGAAGCTGGACTATGAAGGGGAGTTTACAGAAACAGCTTTCAGATACAACTGCTGCAACTTCTGTGTAGATCTGCTCATGTGACATCTTCTTCTGTCTTCCTCTTCATCCTGCAGAGGTTTGGAAAATAGTTGCAGAATTGTTGCATTATTCTACATTTGCATAACCGCCGCTCAGTTTTTCATGCACGTCCTGCAAATCCAATAAAAATCCTTGTAAATTAGATTTAAAAAGGATCCACAGCAGCCTTCCCCATCCGTCTACATTAACACAAATGAATAGGAAGCCACATAATGTTCACCAGACTGTCTCCCGCTCCATCAACAGCCAGCATCTTTTTTCTCCTCATTCACTCTGAAGGATCTTTTTTTTTTTTCTTTCCCCCCTCAGAACAACATTATGAGACTCTTTGTGTTTTTGCTGAGTTGGAAAGGCCCTGAAATAGCCCAGGGCAACGCTGCTATTTGTAAAAGCCGCAGAGTTCAATGAAAACAGAAAAAAAAAAAAGTGCTCTTGCCTCCGCTTGTTCCTTCTCTCTCCCTCTTTTTCTAGGACTTTTTTTTTTTGTTTGTTTTCCTGAACTTCAGAAGTCAGACATTTGTGCTTTTCGAGCAATACGAGGAGGAACGGCAATGATGCAGCCAAGCACATGTGGGCACATCTGGATTGGATTGCAGGCAGTGAGACGGAGTCACTGGGTGACTGGGTGAGCGCGAGGCAGCCAGGCAGCCAGGCAGTGGCCATGTTTGAGCCTCTCGCTTCATGCTGTTGTCCAATAATGTTGTAAGTTTATGTATTGGATCTGGCGCGGCTTTTCGGCGAGAGGGACCACTTGTTGGAGAGGCCAAGACAAACAAGTCGGCAGGCAGCTCTAAATATGGTCATAATTCCCATTGAGAGAAGTTCAGCTCCTTATATGTGCAGTTGAGTCTGTAAGAGAGACTCTGAGAGGAGAGAGACAGCAGCAGGAGGAGGAGGAGGAGGGAGAGTTTTTTACTATATTCACAAGACTCTCGCCACATGGTCGTACCAGAAGTGTGAATCATCAGAGGGGCAGAAGTGGCCTGCAGGGGTGAAGGAAGGCTGGTAGTGTTTAGGTTCGTCCTCTCACCTTGCTGATTGCTGCAGATGTGGAGAACAGAATAAGAGAAGCAGGAGTCCAATAGGCAGCGTTTTCATCGTCCATAACTTCCTTGATTAGTTGTTTGGTCAATACAATGCCCCAAACTAAACTTTTTTAGTTGTAAAAGTGCTCTGAGAAAGTTCTGAGGAGCTTTTCCTTTAGTTCCTCCAATAACTTTCCTTAAACGTTTTCTACATGTTGCGTTGAGAACATCCTCCCTTTGTGATCACTGGGTCACATTATGTTCTGTAATGTGTTACCTCAGCAACGTCCCCAAAACATCCTCAGGAACGATTCGTAAAAGTCGTTCTGTCATCGGAGGATGCTCGATAACATCCTGAAAACAGTTTTTTAAATGTTGGTTCGACAACGTCTCTCCTTTGTTGCCGTGTAACACAATCTGTTGCTGTGACGACATCCTCCAAACATCCTCTCAGTGCTGCAGTTTGTGTCTGAGTCGACTTGTAACCTTATAGGAACATTATTGGAAATGATGAAAATCCTCAAAATGCTCTCTGAACGTTAGACTTAAACGTTTTCTTTGACGCATTATTGAAGTTGTACTTGATTTCCTGCTCGCTGGATCCGAAAATGGTGAAAAAATGTTCAGCAGTGTTTCCTAAAAGTCTAAGATGACGTCTTCACAACCCAGAGATGCTCAGTTTACTGTCACGGATGAGTAACGACACCAGAAAATATTCAGATTCAGGAAGCTGGAATCAGATAACTGAAGTAATTGTTTAATCACTGCAGCTTTATTTAGTGAAGCAGATCTTTTGCTTTTATCTCGACTGCTGTTTCCAAAGTCAGGAAGGAACTTTGACCTTCAGCTGGTGGACCAACGTGGACAAGAACTACTCAAAGTGCTCAGAACCAGAGTCAACAGTCCATCTGACAATGAAGCAGAGCTGCACTAATCAGTCAGTTATCAGAATAGTTGACAACTGATTATTTGCTTTGAACGTGGAGGTATCTTTGGATCTGGAGCTACAAGTTCCTGATCTGCACTTGCTGACCTCGCCCACCTCCAAAGTGTTTATTGTTCCGCTGTGCATTGTTTGTACGTTCTCCGTGTGCTGTCCTGTTCTCCCCCCGAGATAAGCCCCCACATGGACCTTTTGTTCAGACTTGTATTGGTCCACGTTACCACAGCTCACAAACCGACGCAAAGTAGAGCCGTTTATCTGCAGTAATGCACTTTAACTAGATCACTGATTTCTAACCAGAGGGACTATTTAGCATTGCCAGGGCATGTTGTATATATTCTATATTAATAAATGAGTAAATACCATCTGGAATAATAAGTCAGTTGTAATCTCAGCCTGTTATCTACATTGTGAAAGATGGGCTTAGTGTGATTTGTGGACTTTGAAGCCTTGAGTTTGGCATTTGGCCGTCGCCATCTTGGTCTTTTGAAACCAGACGTGGATCAGACTGTGAACTCTAAGAAATGCCCAAACAGTCAGTCAGAAAGTAGCCCCTCCTTAAAACATCCCCCTGTTTATCTGCTGTTTTTCACTGAACAAATTTACAAACTGAGCATCATGCTGTATTCAAACAGCTTCAGAACTAGCGATTAAAATGATGAACTCATTGGGGAATGTTCACTGAGGTAATGGATCAAGTCATTTTCTCAAAGACTTCTAAACAGTTTGACTTCTTTTGCAACCAGCGGAGTCGCCCCCTCCTGGCCAATAGAAAGAAAGCGGGTTTACGGCATGTCATTTTTGGCTGTAAAACCCGGAGCCCACGTCTATTTCTTTAGTCTGTGGTGTATTAACAGGAGTCAGACTTCAAGATGCGACTGTGAGAACATTAGTTGATTTGCAACCAAAGGAGTGAAAACAGATCAGTGAGAAAGTGGCGAATAAATGATTGAACCGTCCAGTTTCTGCCGTTCCAAGTCTGCAAACTACAAAACTGCTCCTCAGCAATTCCAAGGCCACCGTGATTTATTAAAAACTCACTCTAACAACGTCCCCTTTTATCTAAATCAGCCCGTGGAAACAGTTTTATATCATCTGTGGCTTTGGAGGGAGTTTTCAGATGTCACATTCGCTTAATCCAAATTATTATGACGACTTGAGCATTCACATCTACTTCCAAATTGTAATTACAGTTTGGCTGGGATTCCTCTGAAAGCTCTGATTAATGGGGCTTTGCACCTAATAAGGTGCCAGAAAACTGGGGATGGACTGATCATCAGTTTGGCTGATTGTCTCATTGGATATTAAGCATTTTTTTTCCAAATTTCATTATTTTTGTGTTCCTAATAAAACAAATATATTTTAAATGTGCTACTTTGGCCACCATGCAGCAGACCCGCGCTACCTCGAACAACGTCCTCTTTCTCTTTTCTCTGCTCTTGTTTCATTCAACAGATACAAAACAGTGCAAACAAAAGCTTTGGAGATGATGTTGTTCTAATTCATGTCAAATATCAGGTGTTGGTCTGGATATCGACCCTGAAAAACCACATCGGTCAACCCCTACAGAAAACGAAATAAGCGTGGATGCCTCAGGGCAGCCAAAGATGCTGTTCAGTAATATTAAACCCAAATTTAATGGTTGTGGTGTTTGTAATATGACATGAAGGCAGCTTTTAGTTTGAAATAACAAACTCCTGCTTATTTCAGCCTGGTGTGTCCGACAGTTTCATTATTACAGACAGCTTGCATGACAATTTAAGGGTTTGCATGATAGGCTTTATGAGAAAAGGGGAGTCTGCTGGCAGATGCTGTTGTGTTGCATTATGGGAATTGTAGGATCTGGTAGTACAAGGGACCAAAATTCTGCATTTAATGATTTCAAACTATGAGCACGATCCTGCAGCTTTGAGGAGTTGCAATACTAAATCACCAGACTGCTCGTTTATTAATGTCTAATTCAAACCTCTTAGAAATCATGTTAAATTACTTGATCTGAAGCATGATGGTTATCGTAAGTTCCTCCGATACCTGATCTAGAATGTAAAGACCCAGGATGAGCAGCTGGTGTGGTGTTACACACAGTAAAGCAACATTAATGTTAAAGTCAGTGTTCTCCTGGTGAAAACAAAGAGTTTCATCCCAAGCAGCAGCTTCTCTGCTACAACTTAAGCGTTTGTAATTACGCCTGTTAAGTCCTCTTCAACATTCTCTGCTTTGGCCTTTAGTCGCACAAACAGGGCGCTAAATGATGTCATGCAGCTGCAGAGACTAACGCTTGAGCAAGTTTAGTTTCTGGACAGCTGCCACTTCAACATAAGAGTGTGTGTGTTTGGGGGGGTTGGAGTGGATTTGGGTATCAGTTGCCAAACACTCTTCCTCCTCTGCTTCCTTTCCATGCTGGCATGTCTCGGATATGAACAGCAGAAACGTTTGTGCGCTAATAACTTCACTGTGTCGGTAGATTAGCTGTGAGTTCTGCCGGTTCTGACTGTCCTGTCTTCTGATTAGCCTGTGAGGACGCTCGTTGTCCTCGTTGTCTGCTGTGTGGGCTGATGTGCTGCTGCTGCTGCTGTATCGGTCACACAGGCTGTCTGTCTCTCCTTAGGAGTGCCTGAGCCACCTAACTACCCTCTCAGTCCTCGTATTGTTGTGTTTGGTACGTAGCTGTCTGTGCATGTGTGTGTTCCAACCCGTCTCTCAGGGTGTCATTTACTCACCTGATTTAACTTCATGTGTTCTGTCTGTGATGTGACCATGCATGTTTCCTAAACCCATTTCTTAACTTTCTTTACTTCATTCGTCTTTTTGTCTTTAATTCCCATCACAAATCAAACTAAAGCTGCATCATATTGTGAGTCCAGCAAGACATCTTCTTCACTTTCATGCTGTTTTCTGTTCCATCATTTCCCCGTTCCTCCTCCTCCAGATGCCCTTCTTGCTGATCTGGAGAACACCAGCTCTCCTCTACCTCGGTGTCCCGTCCTGCTCACCTCCGACCCTCCACAAAATGCTGATCCGACCACCCAGGACCCAGCTCAGACTCGGCCGCCACCTCCCGCCTACACACCGCAGCAGGTGACGCATTTGGACCGATATTCTAGTTGCTGAAATTCTGATGATCTAAAAAGCTTGAACTTTGCCAACAGATATTCTTGTGGATTCATGTTAAAAAACGTGACTGATTGTCTGTTTTGTCTCTCAGACTGTTTCTTCTGCAATGAAATCCTCGCAGAACTCCACCCCAGACAAATTATACAGGTAACTCTCTCCCACATTGTTTTAAACACTGTTTCCCTTAAAAAAAATATTCACATCACCTCTGATTGAATAATCTGATCTTTAAGAAACACATGTTCCAAACCTCTGAAGTTCTGCACACATCTCAGCTTTGTTCGGAACATGACAAGCGAGTACATCACCGGGTGTTTCCAACACTCCTGCAGGCTGATCAGACCTCAGCTTGTGTCCTACTTGCCTCCCGGTTCTTCTCTCTTGAGCCACCTTGAGGCTCTGTGCCACATCTGTGGTGTGACGAATGGATTTTCTCCTTCTTTCTCCCTGGATACGCAGAGTGCTGCAGGCTCTGGATGGCGCTGCAAAAGCCCCAGGACCAAACTCAACCAGGAAGCACCTTGCCTTCATTCACTAACTAGCTCGTTTAGCTCCTTGCTGATGAATTGCCAACATGAGATCGACATCAAGTCTCAAATACGTGACAGTGATGTGGTGACAACTTGAGCTATTGGTCTAAATCCACCAACAGCTGCCAGCACCATGCAGAGGCCCAGATTGCAGAAGGCGATGACCAGCTTTCAGAGGCAGAGCTGCTTCCACCACTCATCTCTGGTGCTGGTAATTTCTGCAGTGGCCCTCAGGAGTTAATCACAGTGTCAACAGTATCAGGCCTCTTCTAATGTCTTGGTGCAGCAACTTGGGATGGGGTTCCACGTTGGGAGCATGTGTGCCGGGAAAAATATAAAAAATTTAACACGTCGGAACTTTAAACAGCTTCTAGGTTTTTATTTATTTATTTTTGCTCAGGTCACATTTTTACTCACTTCGGCTTTAATATGAAGTCCTGCCTCTGTATGGAAAGAGCACAACCATGACTAGTAGTAGTAAAAGAGAGAGGTTCAGAAGGTTCATCTCAGAGAGAGACGGTTTTTCAGCGCTAATGTTCAGCACCAAAGTGACCACGATGAATCCAGGCACATTAGCAGCAGTGTGTTTTCTAATGAAGTTAACTCTGGACAATGTCTGTCTTGTGTTTCCTGCAGCACAGTGTGTAAACCACGATCTCCCCGCACAGCAGATCCTCCTCCAGCCTTCTCCTCCTCCTCGCTGCTGGGTGGAGGTCTGAGCGAACTGGACCATCTGCTACAGGAGCTAAACGCGACACAGTTTAACATCACAGGTCAGTGACGGTGTCTAGGTGGGTTTTTTTATGCACTCTGAGGTGAATCTTTTCTGAAATATGACCTTGTTTGTGTCATCAGATGAGATCCTGGCTCAGTTCCCTTCTTCTAAGAAAGATGAGCGGGACAAGATCAAGGATAAAGCCGCAACCTCCTCCAGGTACAAATCCAATCAAGTTAGTCATATCGATGGACTCCATAGTGTTAAAGGAAGAACTTTCTGCACCGCATACTGCTTACTACTGTAAGATTTTTGTAGAGTGGCACCACTACTCGTGATTAAAAAAAAAAGTAGCTAAAAAGTTGAAGGTACTTAGAGTCTTTCTGAGCCCACATAGAGAAAGAAAGACTTCTGAGAAAGCTTGGAACAGATGAGCTACAAATCAAGTTGTGCACAGAAAAATTAAACAACCGAAACATTGTGAAGTCAATGTGCAACACACTGGGACTCACTGTTCTGCCAAAACTAGCATTTTGAGATAAAGAGTTTGGTATCTATTGATCTAACTATCCATCTATGTAATAATATCAGAACTAATGGTACATAAGAGTCTGTTTAATGCACGTGTGGCATATTTAAAGATAGGCAGCTTCTTACCTAAAGGGAGCCTGCAGAGTTATTTATGGCCAGCAAAAGAGCAATGTTCTTCATCATTTTAATTTTAGCACATGTATAAGTACGTGGGCGACACATTCCTGCTGCTGGTTTCTCTCTGTTCTGCTGACGGACAGCTGGTGGCATCATTACAGCACGGAAGGTAGAAAACCAGAAAACAAAGAAAGATTTAAATTATTCAAAAAATCTGAAATGCAGCTGAGACACAAAATGCATTTTGGTGACAAAACACTGAACGTAAATCAAACTTTTTACAAGAAAACTCTACAGTATAGATTTAAGTTGCGTATCGTCAGTGAGTCGAAGGAAACACCACATGTAGGGAATCAAATCCTCCAGATGTATGTGTCACCTCTGCAGTGATTTTTTTTTACAAAATGTTTCCGTCACAAGGACTCATTGTCAAGACACGTCAATCATGAAGTGAAATAGTCCTTAAATACAGCCCATAATACCACTCATAGCTGTACGTAGACCAGAGCTGTGTTCAGGTTATGTCACACACTCAGGAGTCACCCAAGATCTGAACGTCACCTCAGCAGCATAAATATATACAGTCCAAATTGACAATACAAATGCCTCATAGAGTCGCCCAACCTCAGATTTATCTAAACACACAGAAGCCACAAAGAAGCACAAAAGACACATTTTCAGAACAAACAAGCCCGTGTGTGTGTGTTTATATCTAGCAGTAATGTGAACAGGGGTTTTCCCAAAATGATTCACATCAGTCAAAATAATCAGAAACTGCACTGACTCCATTTTAAGCAGCAGTTTTTGGATAGATCAGACTAAAATTCTCTGCATTTGTCTTTTGTATTCCAGCTCTGTGAAGCCTTCGGCAACATCCGCCACCCTGGAACTGGACAAACTGATGGCTTCGCTGTCCGACTTCAGAGTCCAGAGCACAGTAAGAGTCCTGACGGCTTTGTGCTCTAAATCCACGACTGTGCTCACGATGTGGCGGCTGTTTTCTGTTTTTAATCGCTCATATCTGTTCCGAGCTCACACTGATTCATGCTAGATTCATGACGACGTTCGCTGGGCTCCATAATGACTACACTGTTAGTGAGCGACCTGACCACAGCGTGAGCCTCTCGGTACAAATCAGTCACCAGACATGGCCTGAGGAGGAGAATTAGTCTTGGAGAAATATTTTCCAGCTCCATGAAGAGCTTTAGATAGTTGGAAGTTATTGATCTTCATTTAACATAATGTAGTTGTTCTCCTTTTCAGAGAACCGGCAGCAGACATGTGAGCAGACAGAGCGTCTTTATAAAGTTGTTTGGTTCCAGTGTGCCGTCCAGCTGTGGGTTATAAACAAAACGGATTCTGGGAAGACAGATTTGGAAGGAAATCTCTCCACTGGATGCTCTGTTTTGACCAGGCTTGCAACATAACTTGAGGCATGGCAGGTCGGCCCACGAGTATGATATTCATGGCCCCTTGAGGATGAACCCTAGTGACCTTTACGCACTCTGAGAACAAAGTTTTCTCTTGTGCAGACATTTACGACTCCTTAACCGTACATCGTCTTGTTCCGTGTGATCTACAGACTTTTCTTCACAGCGCTATCTTTCCAGACGTTTCATTTCCACCAGCTTCAGAGTGATGATGAACTCCTGAAGAATTAAAATCCCCCAAAACAAATGTTCTCTGTTCTTTGTCCTCTCCCAGCCAGCTGTGCCCGTCACTCCAGTGGTTACGGCACCGCAGCAACCCGCCGCCCCGCCGCAGCCCTCGTCTGGAGGCTCGTTGGACAGCATGCTGGGGCTCCTCCAATCAGACCTGAGCCGGCAAGGAGTGCAAACATCCTCAAAGGGGAACTGCTCGGCGTGTCAGAAGCCAGTAGTTGGACAGGTTAGTGTCACAATATATCCATACAGGCAGGTTCAGATGAATATTATCCCACTGATATCTTTTAAAGAGTCACCAACATTCACCCTTTATGGGGCTTGTGACCATGTTTGGTAACTTCCTTGGATGTTCAGTGTGTCCACCCTGAGCCTCTCCTTGAGGTTGAAGAACCATGTGTGCTTTGATTTAGTGAGTTATGAAAAATGTCACTAAACAAATGTTCCAGGTTCTTTATAAACGCTTTGTTACTGGTTTGTATTGAACTCCTCTTTGATTTGTTTTTTGAGATTCGTGCCAAAACCACTACCCCAAGAAAAATGGTACTGAATGAACTTGTCGAGCACTTTATGAATACTTTACTGGTTGTATAAGTGTCATTACCTCAAACTAAAGTGCTTCTAAATAATTTTTTTTTCCCCAGTTTGTTACTTTTTCTTTATTTCTTATAAATTTCCTTTTTTTTTAACCGTAGACGGCCAAGTTACCATATATGGTAACTTTATTAATCTTGATTTGCAACATTTCTGTTTATTTTTTTAAGTCACAGAAGTAAAAATATCTTGAAATTTCCTTCAATAGGGTTGAATTTTTCATTTTCCGAGTATTTCAAGGAGTGCCATATAAAGCCTTTAATAGTGCCAGAAAGTGTAAAAAGAGGAAGAATTGCAGGATATTCAGCTTTCATTTAGTCCCTAAACTTCTTTCTGTAACCTACCAATTTGTCCAAAAAATATCCAAACTTTAAATTGTAATATTTCATCACATGACTCTATGTGTGAAATTACACCAAATAAGACAGCGTTGTACGAACCAGATTCTGTAAGAAGTAAAAAAGATTCCTGCACCTCAGCACAACCACGAAGCCGTTGGTGACTCAGCTGCAACCAGCTGACAGAGATTCAGGGACTTTTTGGCTGAACTGCAGGCTGTGTTTACACAAAGCTGATAGAAGGCAAATATGGAAGCCAAACAAAGATGGAAGCAGTGAAACATGTCCAGCATGTAGACTCACTGGGTTCTTGTTGTGTCGGTGGGAACTTGGAAAAATGTTGCGCTTATTGATTCCATTTTTTTTTTTTCAATTTTAGCCAATAAAGGAATTTAAACTTTTATTGTTTCTACAATTTGTGGCATTATACGTGTGTCATCCTGCACAAGAGACATTTTTAAGTTCCCTCTACTTCTAGTCATGTTGTTTTTATTGAAGAGCAGGACTTTGTATTGCAGTGAAAACTGAGGCCACAGTGAGTCAAAATGTAACAGGAGCAAAAAACACAGGAAGCCTTGTTGATGTGTGATAGTTGTGGTGCATGTTCTGTCTAAAAGGTTGGACTTTCCAGTTTCTTTAGTTCAACCAATAATATCATTAACAGTAACTTCATGAGAGCTCTGTAAAGAATGAATCCCACTTTAATGGACTCGGCTGTTTGCTTTGCGCAGGTGGTGACGGCTCTCGGGAAGGTTTGGCATCCGGAGCACTTTGTGTGCACCGAGTGCGAGACGGAGCTGGGGAGTCGCAACTTCTTCGAGAAGGACGGCCGGCCGTACTGCGAGTCGGACTACTTCACCCTCTTCTCCCCGCACTGCGCGCACTGCAACAAACCCATACTGAACGTGAGACGCTTAAACTTCTGAGCTCACTTTTGACACGAGCTGCTCCAGTTGATACCTGCGGCCCACCTGAAGCTGCTTCACTCTCTGTTTCATCTTGTCGTTTAGAAAATGGTCACCGCTCTGGACAAGAACTGGCACCCGGAGTGCTTCTGCTGCGTTAAGTGCAGCCGCGCCTTTGGAGAGGAAGGTAATGGGCGGCACTAATGCATCCTGTCTGGGTCCAAAATACGGCCGTGAACTTGCAGTGAGGTCACACTAACATGAAACCCTTTCTATCAAACATTCATAGATACTCGATTAATAATTCATTTAAACACTGAGACAACATGTGGTGTTAATCGAAGGTTTTATTGTGTTGATTAATTCTTCATCTTCACATTAAAACTGTTTGTAAAAAATGAATACATCTTTGATTACAAGAGTTGCACTGTTTATCTTTTTAGCCTCATGACCTCCTAAATCATTAAATTTGTACGGTTTTCAAAATAGGAATTGAATGCCTCGTAGCCTGACTTCTGTTGTAACAGCTTCTCGACCCTGCCTGAGTTTTTAGGGGGGAAACACTGAATCTTTGTATTTTCTTGGCACTGAAATGGCCAGATTTCATGCAGCTGTTTTCATCAGTTGGCAGCTCATTTAACATTCACCAAATGAACTCTGTGTAAAACTGTGACGATCTCCTCCGCAGGTTTCCATGACCGTGAGGGCCAGCAGTACTGCCAGCAGTGCTTCTTGACTCTGTTTGCGTCTCGCTGTCAAGGCTGCAGTCAGCCCATTCTGGAAAACTACATCTCAGCTCTCAACTCTCTCTGGCACCCGCAATGCTTCGTATGTCGGGTGAGTGTGACGTTAAACAGGCCCTGTGGTGTACCAGTGTTTGATCCTTAGTCTGTTTGAGTGGCAGGTTTATTTTATTCTATGTTATATTTATACATTTTGGTAAGTTGCCTCGCCATTGAAAAGATAGAGGCCCACAGCGAGATCACACCTGCTCTCTGACGTGCAGCCCAGACACACTTGTATGAGTTACAAGTGACACAGCTACAACAGTACCTGAACAATTACAACAAGTTTCTTAGCACTAAAGAAGCTGCAGTAAACTTCCATAGATGCTCCTTATAATTAATTTAATGTAGCCCCCTAGAGTCTATCTAACTACTGAGCAAGAAACTAAATGTGCTTTTTTTTGTTATGCATATTGCTGAGAAAACCACTCAAAGGCTTAATGTGAGACATTTTGCTCACAAACTGCTTTATAGTTTCATTCCTTCCATTTCACGGCTGCATCTGTGAAGATTTAGAAGGTCGCCGGTTCGAGTCCCGGTGAGGACACCCGGGATCTTTCTGCGTGGAGTTTGCATGTTCTCCCCGTGCAGTGTGGGTTCTCTCCGGGTTCTCCGACTTCCTCCCACACAGTCCAAAAACATGTTGAGGTTAATTGGTGATTCTAAATTGTCCGTAGGTGTGAATGTGAGTGTGCTTGGTTGTCTGTCTCTAAGTGTAGCCCTGTGATAGACTGGTGACCTGTCCAGGGTGTCCCCTGCCTTCACCCTGAGTCAGCTGGGATAGACTCCAGCCCCCCACGAGCCTAGTGAGGATTAAGTGGTGTATAGATAATGGATGGATTCTTGGGTTATTACACACAAAGATATAGAGCAAACCAAACCAAGCTTCCAGGACCCCTACACACTGATAACCTCTCTAAGTTGGGTTCAGAAGGTTAAATATTAAGAAAACTAAACAGAGTTTGGTTGGTGGTCTGTCGGTGTGGTAGTTTGAATTTATGACCTCAGTGTTTCTAAAATCCTTCCTACAGCACTGCAGCTGGCTCCTGTCACACCAAAGACCAATGAACTAAAATGTGTTTTACATGATCCCTTGAGCAAGGCACCCACAGAAGCTGCTCGGTGGCCAAACCGATCGTTGTGGCTTCTTCCACGAGGAAATCAGTGTAGCTGTGCTAAAAAAGAAAACCCTCTGAATCCTGTCATGGGAAAGTTGTGATTTCACTTGAAAACGTTCTAATTACAGCAGCATGACTCAGGTCTTCCCACCGCCACTGAACCTCGCTGCTTTTTTTCCCCCCTCTGGTTTCCAGGAGTGCTACAGCCCCTTCGTCAACGGCAGCTTCTTTGAACATGAGGGGAAGCCGCTGTGTGAGGCCCACTACCACCAGTCCCGCGGCAGCATGTGTCAGGCCTGCCAGCAGCCCATCCTGGGCCGCTGCGTCACCGCCATGGGAGCCAAGTTCCACCCGCACCACCTCGTGTGTCACTTCTGCCTGAAGCCGCTGAGCAAAGGCTGCTTCAAGGAGCAGGAGAACAAACCGTACTGCCACCCCTGCTTCATCAAACTGTTCGGCTGAGGACGCTGCAGGACTCGAGCCTCCCCTCCCCCCCACGTCCTCCGTGAAGCGAAGAAGCTGTGTGACTCTCAATTAGTTAGTGTTTCTACTGCGGGAGTGAGGGTGGAGCTGGTCTCTTTGTTGGTTTTCAGAATATTTGAGGAAGGGGAAAAAGAGAAAATCATCCAACCCAACTGGTTTCTGTTTATTTGACTCAAAATAAAGGACTGCATTTGGACTGTGTGAAACAAAAGTCCAGCATTGGTTCGACAGACACACACACAAAAAACCACATTATGTCATGTATGTAGACTTTTTACATACTGTATTAATTCAAATTGAATATTGAAAATTGAGTTCTTTTTGCCAAAGGTAGAAAAAGAAACTGTACTGAGAGCAAATTTATTGTTTCAATTATGGACTTGTGCTGTTGTGCAAGAAAATCCCCTTTAATATATTTGCTTTATATTGCAAAAAGTATACGTGTCACTGCAATTGCTTTTATATATTGTATGCTGACTGCTATATATGTTTATGTGTAGCAAACTGAAGTATCACATGTTTAAAGTCAGATATTTTGCATTATTCAGTCACTCTTGCTCTATGCAAATAGCCAAAGACGATTCCAAAGAATAAAATAAACGTGAACACACCTTGTTTTGCTGCTTTGTGGGTAATTGAACTGAAGAAACAGTGACAGACGGAACAACTTGGATGTAATCTGAAGTCTATACATTCCTACAAATAGCACAACTTGTGTTTTATTTTATAATTTAACTACTTATATATATTTTTTTCAGTCTTAAAGCTCGATTCTATCTTAGGCTTAAATTATCATTCAACCAAAGCTGATGCCCTTTTGGTTTTTCTTTACTGCTAATTCTTCCCAGAACGTCTTCACCTAATGAGATCGGTTGATTCTTTCACAACTGAGGTTCTGGGATTCTTCACAGTCTTTCACACAACATACAAACAGTCGAACAGTTTACAGATTGAGTTTAAACAAGCTGCTCTGGGAACATAAATATGTGAACAGACTCGGCTAAGAAAGTAAGAATGACGACGTCTGAGGGAGCAGATGTGTAACAGTTGGAGAAACAAATAAGATGTATGAAAAATAAATTTCAGTGTTCAGGGGCGAGCTGTTTATGAAACTGGATTCGTGACATGAAGCCAAAGACTCCCAGCTTTCTTTTACACTTTCTTTTCCCCCAAAAAGCTCTTCCAACAACACAGAAAAGAGGTGTTTAAACTTTTAATTGTAAAAAATCCACAAAAAAAGCAGTTTGTTTATAGAGAATGTTCTACTGAAGAGTGAATACTGAAGTTGTAAACCAGTCTTATGTGACTTCTCTTGTACAATAAATACAGAAGAAAAGTAAAAGATCATTTCTTTTGGAATACAAATAACATAAAACTGTATTCCTTTAGAATGTTTCTGATTGTGTTTTAGTGTTATTTTGAATCACTGAGAGAAGTGAGGATAGAATTAATGTAAATTGCAATAATTTTAAATATATTTGTAGCAGAAATCTTCACAATTCTTAAAATAAGAACATAAGTGTCGACACTACAGGGGAATGTTGTTAATGGTTATAATTAATAGATATGAAACGTCAGTAGTTGATGACTTTCTACAAGACAATTATTTTTGTGATCACAGGTTTTCTGGGATTTTATGTTTAAATGTGCAAAAAAGATATTGTCTCAACAAATGTGTGTAAATTTGTACACATTTGTTGAACATTAATCTGAACGTTGCAAAAAGCAGTTTCTAAACATTCCTTAATTTTGCTGATACATATCAAATATTAATATTAAAAGTATTTACAGAAAGGAATTTGTTTTTCCACTCTATAAATCATAAAATATTACCAAAAGCCAGAGAAAAAAAAGTTTTTCACCATGTTTTTAGGAATAAAATCCACTCTAAGTCATGCTACGACTGATAAATGAACCAACCCATCTGTAAAAACCTGCACAATATGGATGGGAATTAAACTAGAGGGTTTAGTGTATGTAAGTGCAACTAAAGTGCAGCTCTGTGTCTCAAATTGTCCGGAAAATTGTGCAGAAACGTCACTTTGGCCACGAGAGGTCAATATTCTCCAACTGTCCTCGCCTGAAGAGCTGAACAAAAACTTTTAAAAACTCAATATGTACAGGTTTGGCAAAGATAAGGAGCAGAGAATAACTAAATACTAATCACTAAAAACTAAATCCACATTACATCAGATGCAGCAGAGTTTCAGGTGAGGCTGCTGCAGCGCTGCGTGTCGACGTGTCCACGCCTCTGCGTCCCACAGGTGACTTCATTTAAAGTTAATGAGCGTCTCCTCGCCGTCTGACGACAGAAACCAGGGAACCTAGAGGAGAAAGTCACCGAGCCGCCGGCTTCAAGTGTAGAAAAAATACACGATGAGTGATTCAGAACAGCAACAAGTAAGTTCTGCTGCTTTGTAATGTGTCAGTTCAGCTGTGCGGAGTAACACGTGTCCATTTATGCGCGACAAGCTCATCGGGCTGCTGGATGCGGAAAATAACCCAAAATGATTTACAAACAGCAATACATGCTTTAAAGATGTAGAGTTACAATGTTTTTACACTCGTGCTAGCATTTCATGTCGTGCCTCTGAACGTGGATTTACTTCTGAAGTCGTGCGTAAAGTGAATGTTGAAACAGCACCACATGGTCTCCATCCATCCACGCAGGACGCAGCGCAGGTGTGCGCGCCTCAGTGGCCTGAGAAAGGAGAGGAGTGGAGTGATGGAGAGGATGGCACGGACATGGACTGCGGACTTCTGCAGGCCATGGCCGAGGAGGACGAGGAGATCAACGTCTACAATGAGGAGACGTTTGGGATGGGTGTGTACATGTGTCCACGGTGTTTTCAAGAGAATATTTAAAGGAAGTTCTGCTGCTTTTGTCCTCTGAGGAGGTGGACCGACAGGTGTTGGGCCAAAGGTGATCGTTGCTTCATGTCTCTGCATTGCTGTACCTGCTCTGTGAGCCAGATTAGAACCAATCCAGTTGTTCTATCAGGTTGAAATAACTTTAAAGGCCTTTTTTTTTTTTTTCCATATAAGAACAAACATCTGTGAAGTGATAGTTTTTGCTTATTTAATTACTGTTAACATGTAATTTTATAGTCAAACATAAAACTACAAATTACCATTTAGAAAGAAAAGAGGAAAAAAACAAATTGTAAAAAAAACCCAAACTGTCAAACATGATTCATTTTTTACAGCATAGGTCACAGAATAGTTGTAAAAGAGCCCATTCCATTATTTTAGATGTAAAATCCACCTGTAAATGAAATTACAGTCTAAACAAGGATATTATACATACCTACAAACAAATGTTACCTAAATAGTGCAAACAATACTGTAATATTGTCTAATATTCTGAATATTCGGTCTAGTCATGCTACAAATCAATTTTTTGACACGATGCAAAAGTTTTTTGCCACCATTTTTTAAATGAAGTGCCCATCCCTTATTTGAGGCTTTGTCATCTTTAAGTGTGTATCTTTGTGTTTTTACAGCGTCAGAAGCTTAAATGTTCACTCTGACTGTATTTATGTTTGTATCACAGATCTCGACACACATGGAACCCCAGATGAACCCATCAGTACCAACCTTCAGCTTGGAGAACTGAAGCCTCCAACACCACCTCCAGACCCCAAACCTCCGTCCCCTCCCAGAGTCCCCTCCCCTCCCCGACAGAAGCCACAGTATCTGCCCCGGGCCGCCCCGGGGTACCGTGGCAGGTTCAGAGGATGGAGGGGAGGCCTGGGCAGGGGGCAGATGTTCGAGGATCCAGCTGTGATGAGGATAGTGGAGGGACGACCGAGCCTCAAGGTGACAAAGATCCACTTAGTTATTGTTTTTAAAGTGAGAATGAGACGGGCCCCGCTGCAGCAGCTGGTCTTCATTCTGGTCTGTTTTTGCTTTTTAAGAGTCTTGACAGTGCCATAGTGGACTATGGGAACGCCATGTACCGGAATACCTTTGAGGATGATGTAAGTGTCAGCTTGGAAAGACTTTATTTTTACTACACTTTGTGCTGCTGATGTTTTTCTCCCCTGTTGGTTTTTATCTCCAGAGGCTGGAGCCCTCTTACAGAAAGACCAGACGAATGTCAGGATCAGTGCTACAGGTCAAGAGAACTGAAGAACATGATGTAATATGTATGCTGGCAGGTTGAGCACTAGTCCTTTTGATCTTGTTTGGTCTTGTCTTGTAGGACAGCGCTATAGTGTGTGTGATCGGTCACAGAGACAGAGGTCAGCACCACTACTCCAGCTTCATGGATCTGCCGTATCCTGCCTCCACCTTTAGGGGCAGAAGAGCAGAACCCAGAGGTTCCTACTCCAGGAGGCAGTTTGGCCAAAGAGGGCCTTCTCAGGTGGAACACTATCTTACCAGATACTGTGTTTTTAAATGATCAAGTTCTGTCAATGTCTGTGTGGCTGTAATCAGAAAAAGACACCACCCCATTGCAGCAGGGGCAACTTACCCGGTGGCTCCCCTGAGAATGTGATGTAGGAGAGTAGCTGCTGCCACACGATGCTTCTGCTGTTGTCAATCAAAGCAGCTACAGCAGGCGCGTCAGCAGCCTGTATGTGCCACAGAGATCCACTCTGCAAATATAAAAACAGACAAGTCTTCTATTTATATTTTTTTTACAAGAGGTTTATGTGAACCAGAAAGCATTTTTTTTTTAAACAACCCGTGAACAAACAATGTAGGACATGGAGCCTCCACTCCGAAGTCTTGATGATGCTATCAGCATTTATTTTCTGGAACTAGCTGATGCTGATGTTCCCATATTACACAAACTAGGTGGGAAAACATGACATTTCCAAGTGCTAGGCAGAAACAGAAGACACAGTAATCCCGAAATGAAAACTCACCCTCTTGTTTTGCCACAACTCCACACTGTATGTGTGTTGCAGGTGTAGCCACTAGAAGTTACTTCCTGTACCACGTCTGCTCTGTGAACAGTCATCACATTGTGTTCAGTGTAGCTGAAGCATTAGGCTTTACCCACAGGCAGCCAACGGCCTGTTGAGGATCCAGAAAATGGCCACTGTTCATCCGATCTACTTAAATATCGCCGCTGCACTTCTTTGGATTCCCAACAAATCATCCAGCAGCTTTCGAGTAGATCAGATGTACGGTTATCGAGCTATATGAAGAACAGACACACAAACACATGTACAGTCAGAGATTCTTTCATCTGAGTGAGGTCGTTTTGCTTTTCTGCCAAGAATTTGACAAGAAGATTCAAAGAACTGTTAATGGTAGGAAAGGCTAACTGCAAGGTGATAAAATGCACCTTAAAGTTCACTAATTAACATGTCTGTTTAATTCATACCAGGACTGTGGGGATAAAACTTGATCATTTGACTAAAAATCTACTATCAGTCTTCTCTTCTTCCCTGAATCTCGTTTCTCTTGCAGGTGCATGCCTCCATGGCCCCAGGATCTCCCATCTTCTCACGCCAGCCACTGACCCCGCGGCAGCTTTACAACCAGGTTTATTCCACCACGAGTCAGACCTTTACCGACACATTAGCACCAATGCGGTCACTGATGTTCATTTGACTTCACTCACTACTCGTTTTGTGCTGAATCAGACAGGGGGCTTGATGTTTCCTCCGAACCGACCCTGTCCCTCCACTCCCCAGCCTCTGACCCCCAAGATGATGCAACTCCGCTTTGGCGCCAACTCACCGAGGCCGTCGCCCTTCTACAGCCCCTCGTCTAACCCGGTGCAGCAGTTCAGGTGATCTCATGGATCTCACAGGGATTCCAGATGTTTGGTTTGTGACTGAAAATATTGGCGTGTTTATCAAGTAAATTTATGATCCAACAGACTTCCTCGTCCCTCATGAGTACATAAAACTCTCGACTTGAAACACATACATTTGATACAGTATTTGTAAAATGGGAATAGGGCATGACTTTACTTTATGGAGGCAAGAGATGGGGGAGAAGTTCTCAAACTATATGCATTCAGAGAAATTGTTCAGTTGACATGACAAGGCCTCTTTACTTGAAGTAACTGAAAGCTATTGAAGGTGCCATTGAATGTGAAGCCTCTCTTTGACCATCAGGTACCCCGGTCCGGTCACACAGCTCCACCCCCAACATAAACGACTACTCAGTCAAAAACAACGTGTATTCCAAAGGTTGGTGCTGCATCCAGTGAAGAATTTGAACGCATTATGTTATGAGTTGGATTTATTTAAAGAAACACCTGACCTGCCTGTAGAAAGTCGGAGGGCTGGGATCCTTACTGCAATTTCATGACGGCCAAAGAGAAGGAGTGGATCACCCGGCTGCAGATGATTCAGCTGCAGAGTGAGAATCCCTACCTGGAGGACTACTATTACCAGGTAGGAAATCTAAGATTTTCTCCAACGTCTTTTCTATTATTAAACAGTTGCTTTTGGGCCAAATAGTTCAATGCCAGCCCTTTTTGTATCACAAACAAAAGTGAGTTTTCCCGCCTGCTGTAGGAGTACTATCGCCGAATAGAAGCCAAGATGGCCGAAGAAGAGCTGGGCATCCGGAGCAAGAGGGAGCCGCCGAAACTCACCACACCCTACATCACAAAAACAGACTCGTACACACCAGGTTGTCCTCCCGTCACCTTTTCACTCCACAAATCTATTTGAACTGGGGGGTTACTCATCATGTGCTCTGCTACATGTGCTGCAGATGGTGCAGTGTTGTTAACAATGGAGTTGCACTGCTGGACAAATTCTGTAGTGATAATATTGATAAATTACCTCGATTATGCATTATGTTTTGTACTAAAACAGTTTTCATATCAACTGTTTTGAAACATTCTTGTGTGTGTGTGGATATGGCTTTAGTGTTGTTGGGGCTGTACGCAGCCTGGAAGAAATACCTGCAGACTCTAGTCAGGGCTGGAACAGACTAAACGCATGACCTAATGCATGATTTAATGCAGTTAATATGCTTTACTCTCTGGACCCCAGGCAGTTTTGTTTTTGTTCCGTCACATTTTTACAGACTGTAGGATCATTTTTCACAGTAACATAAAGTCCTGCACCTCGATGGAAACGGCACAACCAGGGCTAGAAGCAGAGAGAACTCTTCAGTGAAATGTGACGGGATTGAAATGCCTGTTGAATTTTGTGTACCTACAGGTGTTCACAATACTGAGGGTGACTCTACATACTACACATATTTTTCTACGTACATTTTTCATTAGAATTTTCATAGATTTTTGGCCAATTTTTTAGTAAGATTTGTAGAATAGTGAGTTTGGTTGATAGAATAGAATAGAATATACTTTATTTATCCCAGACCTGGGAAATTATTGCAAACACCAGCATCCAAAAAACATAGAAGAAAGTACAAGAAAACAATAATAAGTAATATGCATCCTGGTGTCGGCACACAGCAGGTCCAAGTCAGTCCACATACAGGCTGAATGTGGGGAGAGTGGTAGAGAGCGATGTATGGTTAAAGTCTCCTGAGATGACGATCAGAGACTGAGGGTGTGATGTTTGCAGCTGGGACACTGAACTATGGATGAGTTCACAGGCTGCAGCAGCATCAGCCGAGGGGGGGGATGTAAACTGCAATCGCCAGGACGTGCGAAACGGCCGCAAACTAACTGCCAGCAGTTGATTTCCCAACATGAAGCCTGTATTTGACAAAAACTTCCTGAATTAAATATTTACTCATGATTAGTTCAGACCGTTGAAAATCAAACTGGGGTTCAGAGAGTTAAACTTGTTTTTTTTTTAAAAATCCATTTATTTGACTTTATTGTGTTCCCCCACTTTAAAACTGAGTCCAATGTTGCTTCATGAAAACACGATGGAAGAGGTTTTCCAAACATTTTCAGTGCTGTAACTGTAGAAATCCTTTCCAGTGGTGCATATCGAAGGCTCTCTGGGTCAGGTGGCCGTGTCCACGTGTTACTCTCCTCGCCGGGCCATCAGCGCCGTTCATGCAGTCCAGGCTCACAGTCCACTCGAGGTGACTGTTTTTATTTGACACGACTTCTTGCACTTTAAAATTGCAATAATCTACCTTCCCTAACATTTCTTTGTTGTTACTGCAGGAACAAAAAGACACCAGACAACAGCGGTTAGAGATCCTTAACAAAATAGAAAAGGTAGCTGCTCAGTGTTTGGTTTGACGCAGTGAGATTTTGTTGCCACCTCCTCCAGCTCATGCTGACACCTGTCCTGCCCTGCAGTTGTTCATAGCTCTGTTGGACGTGGAGGAGACGGAGAGAATGAAAACCACAGTCTTGTCTGAGGCAGAAGAGAAAAGGTTCATGGAGAAAACTCAGAGGAAAGTGGAACAAATCTACTCCCAGCTGCAGCACCATCCGTGAGTCACTCATGTGGCCGCATGCAGGAAGTGGCGTGTAAAGTGCAATACATGTCTGACTTTTGTTTAGAAGTAACTCATTGATGTTTTTCAATTTGAACATTTTCCCCAAATGCCGCTTGCTGTAGAGATTCGGGAGGAGAGTTTCTTCCTTTCCTGCTCGTCTCAAAAGGCAAAAAGCTTATCGCCCGTCTGCTCCCGTTCCTTCAATGCGAATCTGCGCAGAAGATCTTGAGCATCGTGACCTCGAACCTGCCGGCACTGATGAGCAGAGATCCAGAGGAGGTAGGGCAGCTTCACATGACATTTCTTTACTCCTTTAATGTGCTACAACAAACTTTCTTGGTAACAAAATAATGTTAACTAAAAGGTCTACTCAGCAACTGATGATTACTTTATTAAAAGCAAGCAAAAGAGACAATATGTTGTTTTCTACACATGTATTATTGCTTTATTTTTTGCTTTTGTGCTATATATCCAGCTTTATAATCACCTGTTATAACCACATAACAAGACATCAATAATCAAGGCTTAATATACTAAATACAGCAGCACAGTGGTTGAAATTAGCTTCTAAGTGTAAACAAATATGATTCAACAGTTGAGAATGAGCTTCAAAGGTCAAATTCTCTTGCTTTGGTTTTGTGAATTTGTTTGGATGAATCTCACCATCATGTATGATCTTCTTAGGCCCTTCCGGTGCTCTACCCACCTCTCCGAAACGTGATCGGTGGCCTGACGTTCAGTCAGCTCATCGGCCTCCTCAAAGATCTGACGTCCCTGGAGTCTCTGACGACCTACGAGTGTCTCACTCTGGCCTGCCAGAACAAGGTCTGTGCTTTGTGCTTTTGGTTAGCTGCATTTTATATAACTGTAGATACTTCCTACTGGCTCCTTTTGTACATATATGTACATATTCTTGTTTGTCTTTTTATACTTTTACTTTTATACTTTTGCACCACTGAAGTTGTCTTTTAATTTTGTTGTACTTTGTGTATGATGACAATAAAAGGATTCTATTCTATTCTATTCTATTCTATTTATCCAGAGTTTAAGGTTTCCTCACATGTGTTTCTTTCAGTTTGGCCTGTCCTTGTTGTACGCTCTCCTGTCCCACGGAGAGAAGCTGCTCTCCTCAGGCGTCCCTCTGGAGCCCAGCATCGGTGACTTTGAGACCTGGTGGGGATCTTGTGTCCAATAACCAGTGAAGTGAGGTGACCTGATCAGTCTCTGGAGATCTTGATGTTTGTGTGGTCTTGTAGGACGGACATAATCTTCCAGGTGGCTGGACAGCTGTCTCAGTGCTCGCTGGTGGAGCCGCTGCTGCTGCCCTCGAACCTGCTCACCTTGTTCTGCCGATACCTGGACAAGAGAACGGTGCATCAGCTGAAAAGCAACATGGAGTAGGTGCTTTTTATTTTTAATTTTATATGATTATTTTTAGCTGATTTGACAGATATTTTCTCACTTAATACTTATACAGCTGTAGTAGTTACTAGACCATTGTGATCACAGTTTTTTGGTTCTCAGTGAGGCCAAACTTTTTGGGGACAGTTGTTTTGTTTTGCGGATTCTAAGTTGGTTAAAATGGCTCTCCCTGTATGCGTCGTCTTTGAGCATCAAGATGGCCGACTACTTGCCATCCTCTCTTATTTGAGGCATTGTTGAGTGTTAATCTAGTTTTATATTACTTGTTGACTTTACAACAGGCACAAAATAAGGGCGGCTTGAAAATGTTATCGGCCATGTAGTGTGAATTTTGACATTTTAGGTATTAATACATAATATTTTAAAACATAATTTACTGTATTTATAGAAATAATTTATAGAAGATGCTGTAATTATTGAATCACAAGATCAAATTATAGCAGAACTCTAAGTGCTGTTGGCCTGTTGATGTTTAGATTTTGTAAAGGGCAGTTTTATAATTATTTCCGCAGCTGTACGTTCATTATTAAATATCTTTATTTAGGACTGCAACAGGGTTCCTGGCTCTTCCATCGTAATGTAGCCGGCAGCAAATGAGATGTTCTGCTAAAGACCCGGTCGTGATGAGCACCAGAGTGAAAGGAGCAGAAGCACACAAACTCCTCGGTGCTCGTGGTAACAGAAGCGATATAATGTGCTCTGACCTTTTTGATTCTTATTCCTTCCCCGTCCCTCGTCCCTTCACATTTTTGCACTCTCAAACTGTTTCCCTTTTTTTATTTCCTTTATCTGATCTTTTTACTTTCCTCCCTTTGGTCTCCAGTATCAGCGTAAGTTACTCTGAAATCGCAAATCTGTTTGTTTTTCTTTTTAAACCTAAAACAAGTCAGAGCGTCATCTGGCTTTCATTCTGCCACATTTACATTCATTCATTTCCAAATGTCATCTAGAAATTCCAGTTACATTTAGGACAATAAATTTAAGTGTGTTGGATCAGATTTGGTGACCAGGTTGAGGATTGTGTAGTAATTTGTACAGCTGAACCTATATGTTGATTATTCCGATAATAACCATTTAAGGAAGTTGTCCTGGCATGGCCCAACATCGGCGTGCAGTTTTGGGTTTTTTGTAGAAAAAAAAAAGACGTACATTGTGTAAACGTGTGTAGTGATACTAAATAGGATGTATTTGATGTATTTGTCCATCTTAAAAGTTTCAGTTACGAAGAGATTTTTGTTAATTGTTATTTATTTGGAAACAGGAATTATTTAAATTGCACCCTTGTAGAGCACTTGCAACATAAATAAAAAAATCTGTGAAATTGCTGAACAGCCTGTTTAAGTCTGCAGAAAATGAGACAAGTTTCACTCCGGTGTGGTTTGAGTAAAGCAGAAGGTCTTTTCCTCAGAGCAGCAGCTAAACTGTAATATTTAGCCCACGTTAAAAACAAAAACCAATCATTTTATCACATTTACTGCTCCATGTTTTTTCATAGTTTGATATGAAGTGGCTCGACATTGTGAACCGAGATGTTGCAGCAGCCTCCTACGGAAAGAGGAACAATTCTGTGACACAAATGATCAGAAGTTCAGTAAAACAATCTTCACATCCTGCACTTAAGCACAAGTACAAATACAAAAATCCTTCATTACAAGTAAAAGTCCTGCATGAAAAAATCCTCAAGTACAAAAGTTTTGACAGCTAAGATTGAGGTAAAATATTCAAGTAAAATTACAGTGTTTTTTGTTTTTTTCCCCCTCTGGCTGATGAATTATTACATACAGTTGAAACAAGTTTACACACACTGTATAAAAAGACATAAAATCTTTTTTTTTTTTTCGCTATCTGACCTTAGATCACACTAAACGTTTCTTGTTTTCCATCAGTTAGGATTCTAAAATTCTTTCTATTAGCTAAACGCCAGAATGAGAGAGAGAATTTTTTACTACAGTCTTCAAAGTCAGACGTTTACGTACACTACTCCATTACCATTACTACTCTTTCAAACTGTTTGGGATAGCCCAGATGATGATGATGATGATGTCATGGTTTGGAAGCTTTTGATTGGTTAACTGACATCATTTGAGTTAATTGGAGACACACCTCAAACACACTGCTTCCTTTTGTAACAACATATATATGATTTTATACACAGGGATGGCCAATAAATCTAAGTTTCTTTTTCTCTAATCTTGAGAATATTTGAACATTTATTGAAATAAAACCGTGCGTTAAGTTTTGAGGGAAGAATCCCTAATTGGTGGAGCTGTTAACAACTTCTAGACATCTGAATTGTGACCTGGACTACACACTGCTGTCTCTTAGAAGCTTAAAAGTCTGGAAACCGCTGGTTTAGTTTAAGTAAAACTGTCAAATGTAGTGAATAGAAAGAAATGTAGCGTGAAATACTCAAGTGCAAATACATTAAAATTGTACTTCTGTGTGCTACATGAGTAAATGGTTCCTTTCCACCACTGAAAACCCCACCACTATTTTTAAATTAACAAAATGCCACAGGTTGTTTAGTGGCCTCTGTGAAGTCCAAGACAAAGTAAAGTCAATGTTGACCAACAGCAGTGATTAAAACCAACGTACGAAGGCAGCGTCGTCGCAGGTCACGACTGAATCTGTTTGTTTCCCTGCTCATTGACTCTTGATGCACAGAACAATTCTCAAGCAAATGTCCAAATTTTGTGTGTTTTTTGCCGAAAGGAGTTGAGTTTAAACCAAACTAATGATCCTGTTGTGTGCTGAAACGCCAGTGTGTGAGATTCCTAAAGGTAGAAGCCGCCAAGAGAGAATAAAGAGTTCATAACGGCTGCAGAAAACAAATATTTAGTGTTGTCCAGAGAAGAACTTGACAAATGAAAGGGCTTTAATGAGGCAGGTTATGCCAGTGATGAAGTTTACTGATGGGAGGAGGCTGCAGGAGGGAAGAGACGCTGAGAGGAAGCTGATGCTGACATCTGACTGCAGTAACGTGATGTTAATGTGCCTCCTCATAAGGTCACTATTCTCTGAATTACTGTGATGTCTTTATTCTGCTGTGTACACGACGTGTAAGATGTTAGTGTTGGCAGACATTTAATATTTATCATCCTCTGAGTTTACTGGAATGTGGAGCTGTGGTGCATAAACAATTAAACAGTGTGTCTTCATAACATACACCCAACAGTCACAACAGTAAACACAGCTGCTTAATATTATGTAGGTCCCTGAGCTGAGTGTACATACTGACGACTAAGTCAGGAGACCATCCAGAGGAGAGAAGCAGAACAAAACTGAAAAGCAAACTAGAACCCATGTATGGATTCCAAGAGACACTGATGATGAATGTCATTCTCTCTTCTTTTGATGGTCACCAGACCTTTTGATTCCATCACCTTTTGTCTTGTGTTGTCCTACCTCCTGTCACAGACCCCCGAGTCCACCACCTTCTGGTCATTGGTGAGGTGGCCTTCCCTTCATACTTGGCAGCTTCACCACTGGTTTCATTTAATTTACAAATCAATTCTGGCCGATACACCTCCCTACCAGTCCTCTCTTCTTCAAGTCGCCCATAATTCTTATCATACTCGGTCTAGTGAATACATCCCCAATACTTCTACTATTTTTGGCCATAACTCCTTTTGCTTTGCAGCAGCTAATGACTGGAGCACCTTACTAAACACTCTCAAACTTGCAACTCGGACTCCATTCACCACCTTCAAGCTTAAAATCCAACAGACTGTAGTTGACGGTTGCTCCTGCTGATCAGGCCGGACATTAATTACATACTTATATCTACACACACACTTTCTTACACCTCATGCACATCGTTTTTCACTCACATGCATATGCCCCCATGCTTCTTACTGGTTTAATTTTGTTCTATGTTATGTTTATGTGTCTATAACTTACATGTGTATTTGTTCCTGCTGGCGCCTTTTGGCCAGGTCATGTTTGCAAATGAGAACTGGTTCTCAAACATTTTTACCTTGTAAAATAAAGGTCAAATAAGAATTGCTCTTTTGCCTCCTGTCATTGATTAGCAACTGTGTGCTAACTAACTACTATTCACTACAGTATTTGCATAAAGGCCCTCCCTACCCTCTGACATACCCTATAAAAGGTGTAACACTGCAAATGTTCTGGGTCGGTTTACCATCACAGACTCATGCTCTGTGTTGGTAAACCCACCGTATACCAGAACACTGATAAACACCCCATGACAGCAAACTTCACAGAAGGACCATGAGTGAAATGTCTTCAACAACACAAAAACAAGTCTTTTGACCAAAGGAGAAAACCAGAGGAACAGTCTCCATCCTCCAATAAACGGATATGGACACCATCAATTGTGTCTATAGCATCACATGCAATAAATGTGGAGGTCCATTAATGATAATTTACTCATTCAGTAATATTGAACAGAAATCTTATATTTGTTGTGTTTTAAGGGCACAAAAGTCTTTCACACGTCTCACAGGCGAAGCTTTGATCTGGAGCTCTTCTTTGTTTCAACAGTGAACGTACTGAAGTGGTTTCTTTGTCTTTCTCTTCGTGTTGTCAGGTGAGGTTGTGTTTCTGATGCCAGCTCGTGTCGAACATTCACCACTTAACAAATTCCGCTGGCTGTTAACCAGACGCTGAGTCAGAGCCTCCTCAGACATCTGTACACATCTGGAAACACTGCAGACATTCAAGTATGCAGCCAGAATATCCCTTTTGGGCAGCGGTTAGGCCTGAAGCCTAGTTTTCTTAAAAAGTACAACAGAGCAGCACTCCAGTGTTCGTGGGACAGTGTTAAACCAAAGGCCGCCACAGGAGAGCAGTGAAGTCAGTTTAAACAAGTCTTATCAGTGGACACAGTTTGGAAGTTTGTGGCTTTTTCCTTTTTTTTACCCCACTGTATCAGGAGCTACCATAAACACAGATTTGGTCAATATGATGGCATCACATCTGTACAAGACCACAAGGCTTTACAGATGTGTTGCTGACGAAGGCCAAGCTTGATCGTGTGTAGGATCCCATCACAAGACGGACTGGAGTTTTAACACGCTATCATTTGTTGCTTTAATCTGTTGTGCTGCAGCTGCATTACAGAGTGATCATAAGGCTTCATTCAGGAAGACACTGTGATGTGATGGTGGAGGGCAGCAGCTCACTGAAGTTATCAGGATTCTGTTAACTGACTGTGCTATGTTTTATTTAAATCCGTCGTTGAGTTAATAGGATAAATCTGTCTTGACAAAAGTAGCCCCCTAACATACCGATATTAAGATATCTAATATCGCTGATAACCGATATTACTGATGCTGATATTCAATTTTTGTTCACACCAAAAATGACCATAACTAAGCACTGTGAGAATGGGAAAACTATTTAATAGAAGCCCAAATTAGGTCACATAGTCTTCTTTATTACGCAACAGAAGTAAAACACATGGCTTTAAACATATTTAAAATGTGTAAGAGTGTCTTGTCTATCCTAGATGTTCATTCTGCAAAACTTACTAATTAAATGATCCTGAAGAAACGCTCTGATCTTACCTGTACTACTGTGTATGTACAGCAATATGACAACAAACTTGATTTGA